AGCATTTGTAATGTATGTAAAAAAAACTTTATGAGTTGTAGTAGAAATAAGGTTCAAATTTCTAAGTCAATCTTCCAGTGTATTATGATTTTTGAAACCCCAACAATCATTCTGAATAACCCAGTATAAGACAATATAATAGTTTGTGAATATAAACATGGTTAACAGTAAAGTAATTTCTGAAAATTATTTTCATCTGAATGATTAAATGAAATGTTTACTTTTCACTTTGTCAAAGTCATCAAACTTCATATTGTTAGAATAGATCCAAAATTTGCCAATCAGTTACTTCAAACTCTGAAATCTCCTAATTTCAAATGCCAATTATGAGAACTTAACATGTGTAACAGGATAAGTGTAAAAGAGAATCTGAACATATTCATCCACATAATTGTTGTAATTAGCAATAATTGTCTAACTCTTAAGATGACCTTGAGCTGCCTATATCTGATGGGGGGATATCCCTTCTTTTCTCCCTTTTCTGCTTGCCCTATCTTCCTTTCCGAAATTTATACTTAATCAAACTAAAATTTCCAGATGTGTTGCCTGTTTTATAAATGTTCCTACCATTGTTTTTCGAAGAATGATTGAACTTATTAGTGGGGAAAAGATTTTCATGTGAATACATTTGCTACAACTACACGATATCTGCATTGAACAAGTTTCTGTAAAGTTTGCATATTTAGATTTACATATACTTACATGTCCAAAAGGGAAATATTTCAGATAAGACTTTCAAATAAATGTTTCTGAAATTGTCTTTCTGGGAGGAAAAAGCATTACATTTAACTAAATATAGATGAAGTTCTTTTCTAAATATTTCAAATTAAGCCAAGTAGTCTGTTTAAGATTTTACATTACCTTTCTAAGTCATGAAACTTGTAAATGGTGAGGTGACAATAAGCTACGAAGACAAAAAAATATCATGTGTATCTATTATACCTAATATACATGGATGTACTATTGGCATCCCCGCAAATTTACTCTGCTATTCACACAGTTTTTTTTTTTAATGGGTTGGTAAAGGAGAAAATCTCACATGAACAGAATTGTATTAAGCAAAGTGAAAATAAATAAAAATTATTGCTGAGATTGTGTTACATGTGCTAATCAGCAAGGCTGAGCAGCCAGGCACTGTGATTGTGACAATCTTTAGTTGATGTGCGTTGTGTGTGTAGAGTGCATGTCGTGCACGTCATGCATGACTTGCGTGTAATGTGTCTCAGTTATAAACAGTGTGCAAACAAGTTCATGTGAAAACTGTAAAAATCGGAAAGATTCTGTCGGCTCTGGTACACCTGGACAGTCTATTACTGAGAGAGAGAGATCAGAGAGAGAGAGATGAGAGAGATCAGAGAGAGAGAGATGAGAGAGATCAGAGAGAGATAGAGAGATCAGGAGAGATAGAGGAATCAGAGGAGGATAGGGAGAGATCAGAAGGGAGGAGGATCGAAGAGATCAGAGAGGAGAGAGAGAGATCAGAGAGGATAGAGAGATCAGAGAGAGGATAGAGAGATCAGAGAGAGATAAGAGAGATCAGAGAGAGATACGAGAGATCAAGAGAGAGAGAGAGATCAGAGAGAGAGAGAGAGAGAGACAGAGAGAGAGAGAGAGAGATCAGAGAGAAGGAGAGAGAGAGAGAGATCAGAGAGAGAAGAGAGAGAAGAGATCAGAGAGAGAGAGAGAGAGAGATCAGAGAGAGAGGAGAGAGATCAGAGAGAGAGAGAGATCAGAGAGAGAGAGAGATCAGAGAGAGAGAGAGAGAGATATATCAGAGAGAGAGAGAGAGAGATATATCAGAGAGAGAGAGAGAGATATATCAGAGAGAGAGAGAGAGAGAGAGATCAGAGAGAGAGAGAGAGAGATCAGAGAGAGAGAGAGAGATCAGAGAGAGAGAGAGATGAGATCAGAGAGAGAGAGAGATGAGATCAGAGAGAGAGAGAGAGATGAGATCAGAGAGAGAGAGAGATGAGATCAGAGAGAGAGAGAGAGATCAGAGAGAGAGAGAGATCAGAGAGAGAGAGAGATCAGAGAGAGAGAGAGAGATCGGAAGAGAATAATAAGAAAAGAGGAAGACTGGTGAAAAGTGGGGAAAAAGTGAAGGAAAGAAGGCTCAATTTACCTTAATTGTTCTGCTATCACCTCCTCTCTCACTTCATCAGGAAGAGCAGCCAAAAAAGATGGATCTACACCTTCTGGGAGTTCAGGTTCACCATCCACAGGTGGTGGTGGTGGTGGAGGAGGAGCTGCTGCCATTGCCACTGTAGCAGAAGTAACTGATGCAGGAACAGCAGCAGCTGTAGCAGTAGTTGTAGTAGTAGTAGCAGCAACAGCAGCGGCAGCAGTAGTAGTAGTAACACTAACAGCAACAGCTGTAGTAGCAGCAGTGGTAGTAGTAGTAGTGGTAGTAGTAGTAGGAGGAGGTGTAACAGTAGCAGCAGCACCAGCAGGCGGAGCAGCAGAAGCAGGAGCAGGAGCAGGAGCAGTAGTAGCCCCAGCTGCAGGAGCCGCACCATCAGATTGCATTGTTTGTTCAGCACTTGTTCTAGAAGAAAAATGCTCAGCTGTAAAATATATCTATTGGATTAATGTATGCACAATTACACTCACAAGTCAACTTCATGAATGAAACATGCATACATATGAATGGTAGTACAATATATTCACAAAATATGACAGTTCACTCAATCCCTTGCATTTGAAACAATTACATCAATATTTGTGGATACACAAAACATGTAACATATTCTTCTGGTACTTTCAATTTTGTAGAGCACATGCACAATTACAGAATTATTTTATTTCCCTCTCACCCTTCACCTTCACATAGAACTCTTAGCGTTAAGCATTCCATTTTAAACTTGTAATCCGCAGCACAACCATGCAGCAAGAATACCATAGCTGTAATTACTGTAACAGTTCTCAAATGACTTTCTACACACAACTTTACAATACGAATTAAATCATCAATTTTAAGACCGAATCTGAAAATTTAGGTGTTGTTGGCATTATGTATCACAGCAACATGTTGAGAGATAAAAGTAGTTATTTTGCATTGAGGAAATCAGTCTTACGGAACGAATATAGCCGTCTCTTTCCCACAAGATGAAAATTTAAATAAAATTGTGTTTTACAAGGATCCCATTGATACTACTCATGGCACATGACAATTCAATGTGGAAAAGAATGTATGAACATTCACAGATAACCAATTTGTTATTTGGCATGGTTTTCTGAAACATGTTAAACCTTTAAATTTTGAGGTTAAATTACTATTCTGGTGGTGTATTAGTTACTCCTGTATTCAAAACGTAATGTTATCTTTGCTCAACACTGAAATAACGGAGTATTGTATTCTAAAGGTGCCTCTGTTGGTTGCGAAACTGGCCAACTACAAAATTAAAATATTATAAATAAATATATTACTAAGACTTTACTACTCCTTAACATTTTGGTAAACTCTTGTTAATAATATGCTCAGGATAATGAAAGTCGTGCTGAAGTCATTTGTTACATAATACACTTTGAGTCTTTCCTGAGAATTTTGATTATTTGGAGACATCCAGTTTTGCAACAAGACAACACAATTAACTTCACTCATTTTTGCCATTTGCAAATAACCAAGTTGTATTTATTATGACATTTGCAAAAACAATAAAAAAATTTATTTCTCATAACTTTTCTGTAAATTTTAATTATTATAACAGATGACATTGGTCTTGCTGCATAATCCAATTAAAATTTCCAAAGGATTGACAGTCACGAGAGGGAAAACATGTGGTGTTGCCGTGCACTTGTGTGACAGACAAGGTTCTGCCAGGCACTGTTCTCAGGACATTAAATGCAGTGTAGTACAATAGTAGCAGTAGCAGCAGCAGCAGCAGCAGCAGCAATAATAGTAGTAGTAGTAACAGCAGCAGTAGAAGTGGGGGAGGGACCCCAACCGCACACACACAAACATTAAACAAAATGTAAAGGAGCTGTGACAAATTGTTGTAACTAACTAAGAAATTGAGGCTTTTGATTTGATAATAAGCGCTCTCTCCTTCATAACTCAGTAGATGTCAATTCCCTTAGAAATTTTAGTTGGACAGTAAAGAGATCTAAAGATGCTGAAGATACTAACAGTTTCATCCATTCTATTCTACACAACTCAGCAAACATGTGTATCAGTCCACTCAGTCAAAACAATTATGCAAGTGATTTTGCAGTACATCGCTTATGACTTCTAAGAACATAGAGCGTTATACATGTTTCATTTTTATAGATTCCTATAACTGTCATACGCAAACTTTTTTGATAAATGACCTACCATGAAACAATTTACTTCAACCAAGAAACTGTTTTTAATTGAAAAAATAAAGGTGAAGTAATAGATTTATTAACCACTTTCTATACTGATACTACTGTTTATAAAATTGAAAAGTCAGTACAAAAACAGAGCACACGCAAACTTGAACATGTTGAAGAGTTAACATAGTATATCTAATTTGTATGAGCCTCTTGAAAGTTATTTCTAGATAACTTATTTTTTTCACGAGTGTCAGGCAAAAAATTTTTAAATTCACAAAGGAAAGCTCAGGATATATGTTAATGTTTATTGAATGAATTCTAATAGATGGTCATCAGCATATGGTTACAGAAACAGGCAACAAAGAAACTTCAATCTTTGGTTTGAAATGCATTTATCCTCTAAAAACAAGCAAATCACATATGTAAACATATGGCATCCAGAGCCCAAACAAGTGAACAGGGTGATTACTACACAAGAAAAGCTTCAAAAACTTGAAGACAATTTCACAGCAATGAGAGAAATGAGATCAGAAGTTTCTCTCATGCTGGGGTTAAGAGTACTGGGTGGCTTTCATATCAGTAGCAGCATGAGATATGTTACTCAAAATTCGTACTTAAATATTAACAAACATTTTGATTTTCCAAGCAAGCATTTAAAAATTTCTTGCTTCATCCACATAATCAGAAGAGAAAAGATTTCCAATTTTTTTTGTTTAGCAATAACTCATTCTAAATGGTCGGATTATGCAATTAATTCATCTATATCTCGCAGAAGATTCTGCCCCCTGTATGCTACATGCCTCTTTTTGGAAGTAAATTTTGAAATGTTGAGCATCTCTCATTAAACTGCAATGACCTCCAGTCAAAGCAATAAATTAATGAGCATTCTTCCAAAATATACGACTTGTAATAACGGATGCAACAACAAAACACTAAGCTATGTATGCATGTGATCTCTTTCTGTGAACACTCGCACACACATCACTTATTTGGTGCAACAGTGCAGTAATTCAAGAAAATTTGGCTTTTTATGAGTTGCCTCTGAAGTCTCCGGTTAGTTTTTGAAGTGTGAAATGCTGTAGTGTTATGCAACATTCTCCAAATAAATTTTCATATAATAGTTATTATTGTGTAAAGAGATTATTAACAATTAGATCTCTTTAACATCCTACTCAATACGACTTTATTATTATCATCAAATTCTGAGTAACACCACTGTTGCATATAGAGTGCAGTTCAACTAAACTTCCTTTCCTGAAATTAAAATTTTGTAACAAACAACAATTCAAATTAACAGAAAAGAAAAATTGTAGTAACAAATAACTAAGAACAATTGTAGTAACAAAAGTTGTGCCTTCACCACGGAACACACATTTTTACTGATGAATACTTGAAACAAAGATTCATTGGTAAATTGAAAAGTGTTTTTTCGGAAAGACAATGCAATTAACAATGGCTTTATTAAAAATATTCAAATTTGATATTAAGTGTGGCAAAAGTTGTAAATTGGAAGATGGAATTTTAGTATTACATATTCTAATTTAAACATGATTTTGAAGCAATCGGAATGTTTTGTCAAGAATGGAAAGCAATGAGACTTAATTCCAGCAATAGGAAATATTTGAAGACCCAGTTCTTGGTAGCAATACTACGACAAGAGCAATTTTTCCTCGCATTATTTGTAAAGAACGCCTAATATATTATCGAAAAGCATATCTAAGTAATTCATCCTGTAAAACAATCTCTTCTGCAAAAGAAGTTCACCTTTAGGTTTTTTAAAAAGTTCATTGTTTTTAGTAAATTATACTATATTTATACACCCATTTAGCTGTATTTCAGAAAAAAAAAATACCAAAGACACATTTTCCCCCTTGGACTCAAACCGTCATTGAGTTTCGTAAGACATAGTGATAAAACATTTGTTTACTATTTGAATTTTCACATGGAAAAAGACAATAGGACAAGTTCCTCAATAAAAAATTAACTTCTGAAATTTTCAAAATTCTAGAGGCTATTATTAAAATCTGACATAACCCACATTATTATGAGAACTATTCTCTATTTGAGCAAAAATATTGAAGAAAAATTTGGACCCCATTTTTTAAAAATATTTTTTCATAATTTCATGTGTAGCGTAATTATAATGCATTAACACATTGCACAAAAATGGGCAAAATAGAATTAGTGCTGCCTGTAGAGTAATAAACCCTCATCATTAATAATAGTTTTAGAAGGGGTCCAAATAATTTTAAAGTTTTGCAATTTTCACAAATTAAGAGTTGATTTGAATTTTTACTGAAAATAAAGAGAAAATTTTAAAGATATCCTTGAGGCTTCATGTATTCCCAAAAGTACCTCTGAAAATTAAAAGATCGGTTTTGAATTCTTAGAGCTGTGGCATAAGTCAAATTAGTAAGAGAATATCCATTTTAGCTAAAATCCTATGTACGGTTTGCACAGTACGTGGTTTGCAGATGGACACTTGGGAAGAACACTTTTTTGGTACCAATAACTCAAAAAACTTAGATTTTGACTGTACTACACTACTGAATTAAAAGAGAAAGTAATTTACAATTTCCAGGAGAATGGAACAAAACCAACACATTTTGGTATCAAGGACCTACAAAAGTATTTCCCGTCAAAAAATAGCACTATTTTCTGTAGCATTACATAATTTTGTGATACTATGCAATCATTTTTTTTATGACCAAAATAAAAATAAATGTAGCATATAGAAACTGAACATTTTTGAACTACAATACATTAGTTGTATCTTTTATGGAAACCCCCTTTCCTATGTTCCTTATCTCTTGATAAAGAATGATAAAACTGAATTTTAATATGCAGATGTACATTTTACAAATCATTGACCTTCTCCCTACATTACAACAATCACAAATATTTCCCATAACAAACATCAAGAATACACGTGAAACTTTAGTTTAGTATTTACTTTTAAGAACCATCTTTGTCTAACATTAGACACTAACAGTTTCCACAAAAACATGTAAAATATCATTTCTCAAGTACTAACAATTGAGAATAACAAAAATATTGCAATTGGATAAAAATCGGCAGTTGTATGTAGTAATTTCAGGCTGCATATTATGACAATGTGAAATTTATCGATGAAAAAGAGAAGTTGAGAACAAGTAGTCGAATCCTGCAGTAATAGTTTTTGACAAAGTTCTATAAACTTTTTGGTAAATAGAATATTGTATTAAAATAGTTAATGAACTCTAATTTTTGCTT